GGTGTCTCCTCGGCCTTTACGCAGCTCGCTCCGGGTCCCCAGTTCCCAGCCCCCAACCCGGTGCCTCCTGCGCCTGCCTTTGGACTGCTCAGCCCTCCAGGGACTCTCTGCCCTCCGCTCCCCTTCTTTTCTTTGGTCTGTCTGTCTGCTCCACGGTCTAGCGCTGTCCCACCGGTTACTGCCCTCAAGCTTTCTTTCTTCCTCCGGTTCTGCGCCCCTCCTCCATCCTCCCCTTGGTCTCTCCCCTGAGCTACACACCTCCCCCAGCCCTCCTCAGTCCTGACCCGTGCCTTGCTTTGCAGGATCTTCTCTCCCCCTCCTTCTCCCGGTCCCAGTTTCTTACTCGCAGGACACCCCTGCAGGCTGGTTTTGCAGGGACCCTGGAAAGGGCCCGGCCTCGGGTCATGAGAACTGACCTGCCTGGAACCACCATTTTCCATCCCAGTACCCAGCCCGGTGAGGCGGGCCCACCCATCCGGCCCTAGGGGACTGGCCACAGCTGTGGCTGGGCTGGAGCCAGGGACATGGTCAAAGGGGGAAATTCTTGTGGAGAAAGTGTCAGGTAATGGACAGAGTGGGGAGGAGGGCTCACACTGCCAGGGGGTGTGACGCTGTTAGAGCAGACGAGAGATTTGGGGGAGGTGTCCCCGAGCTCAGGCTGGGCGGGCGGGGGTGGGGGGGACACAACTACAACTTCAGAGAACTCCCGCTGCGCAGAGTGGAGCAGGGGGCCTCCCTGCAGGGGGTAGGGCACCCTGGCAGCCGCAGTTCAGGGCACAGGAAACAGGAGGGCCCTATTAAGGGAGACGCCCACACCAACCAGAGTGACAGTGCCCTGGAACTTTCACTCCAGGAGTACTCTCTGAAGAAGTATGCAGGGAGGCGTGTGGGCACTGCCAGGGAGAGCGCCCCCTGGAAGAGGAGGCACGGCCAAGGGGGCGCTCACTGCAGAGAGTGAAGGAGGGGGAGAGGCCCTGCCAGGGGACGCTCACTGCAGAGAGTGGAGGAGGGGGAGGACTACCGGGCTGCTCTCTCTACGTAGGGAAGGGCACCCCCTAGCAAGGAGGCTGGAGCAAGAAGAAAGGGGAACTGGACCAGGGAGAGCTGACTCAGTCTCTCTGGTCTCCCCTTTGGTCCCAGCCGACAGGAGGCCCCATCTTTGTGCTCCCTGTCTCCTGCCCCAGACCCCTCCTCCCCTCCTGCCGCTGCTGCTTCCTGTGGCTGAGACTCTCGCTCAGCCATGAGCTCACCGCCGCTAATGGGTTGCAGCTGCCTCGCTACTCAAGCTCTAGCTTCCCCCTCCAGGCCTCGGAGCAGGCCGCCCACTCTGCTTCACCCCCGCCCTTCACCACCCTCCCCCAACCCACGCTCACAGCACTCGCCCTTCCCCAGAACACTGGGGGTCTGTCTGCTCACCCACATACCTCGGGGCCTGGTGTCTGCTGACGCACCGAATGTCCCTCTTTGGACAGACGGACAACTCTGGCTGGAGAGATTCAGAGTAGCACATGTGGTTTCATCTTCAGGGCAATGGCAGGGCATGGGGGGCAGGGTAGAGAACTAAGTAAATACTGCAATGAGCACCCCTTCCCCGTTTACAGCAAAGAAATCTGGTCAGAGGAACTTCAAAGCTCATCTTAAGAGAGAAATAAGTTTGTAAAAGAATATCCCAGACAGTGGCCGTTTAGGGTGGAATGTCCCATACAGTGGCTGTTTCGGGTATGGGATGGGGAAAGATGTTATCCTCCGGATTCAGCCCAGGAGGGGATTCAGCCCAGGAGGCAAGGCAGGTCTGGGTGAAGCAGGGCTGAGCTTTATGAGAGGCTGGCTCCAGGCTGAGGTTGGCAGAGAGAGGTGCCTTGGAATCAGAAAATATTTCAGCTTGAATGCATACCATCAAGGCCTCCTCTTCCTTCCCCACACGTTCCTTTTGTGACTTTTTCCTCCTTCAACTGCCCCCATCCAGTTCTTTGTAACCCATTCCCACAAGCTCCAGAGAATGGGTGATTGCCTTACAGCCACTCTGGGACAATCACAGACAGCACTTCCCTCTTCCTTCTTCTCCCGCCTTCCTCCCCCCCCCCCCATCTCTAGGATATGATTGTTTATGGTTGGTGGTGCTTCCACCACCAACTTAGGATGGGGGGCTCTGGGTGGTGGGCATTTTGAGGAAGGGCTGTGTAGGTTATCTGTGTGAAAGCCTCCCACCCCCCGAAGTTCTCAGCCATCAGTTCAGTCCTTGATGGCCTAGGAGCCCCTCTCTTCCCTTTTAAGGAGTGCCCTGATTCACAAGAACCAGGAATGGCCCTGTCTGAGGCGTTCACAACAAATCCTGCCTGGATTTCCCAAAGCCAAGGCCTCTGAGATGGGTGTGGAGTGTCCGGCTAGGCCTATGCACTCTGACTGGCCTAGTCCCACGACTCCCATCACTAGCTAGACCAGCAAGCATTTCCTGAGTGCCCACTCTGTGCAGACACTGTCCAGCAGGGCCACTGGGGGCCCAGCCACTCCCATTCCAGTATAGCCTGCAAGGAGCCATGCTTGGGTGGTCTAGAGGGGTCTATAGCCTGGTCCTGTCTCTCCCAGGAGCCGGAGCCAGTGGAGGATTGTGTGCAGAGCACGCTCGCCGCCCTGTACCCACCCTTCGAGGCAACAGCTCCCACTCTGTTGGGCCAGGTGTTCCAGGTGGTCGAGAGGACTTATCGGGAGGATGCACTGAGGTACACGCTGGACTTCCTGGTGCCCGCCAAGCACCTGCTTGCCAAGGTCCAGCAGGAAGCCTGTGTGAGTGGCCGTGCATCCCTGAGATCCACTGCCTCGCTCTAGAGACTAGCCAGACTGACTCATTTCCCCCACCCTGGGACAAAGCCTCTCCTCATACTGAACCCCCCAGAGGCACTTGAGCCTCATTCACTGACCTCCTCCAAACTTTGACCCTCAAAAGCACTGACCACTGGGATACTGGCATGCACCCCCAGAGACACTTGTCTTCCACAAGAATTAACCCCTAAGAACATTAGGTCTGGAGGAGACCCAATTCCAGACACTTCCCCCCTCATACTGACTTCTCAAGATACTAACTCCCCCCAGACATGACTCAACAGAGAGCCTTCATTTCTGCAGATTTCTACAAATATAAAGACCTCTTAAGAGTCTTTGACTCCTCCAAGACAATGGCATCTGCTGACCATGTCCTTGTAATGACTCAGTTCTTGCCGTCCCACACATGGATTGGCTTCCTAGAGATCCCTACCACCAGAAACCTGATGAGCCCCAATCCCTTTCTCTAAGCCACATGAACACTCCCAAGACATCCTGCTCCCCTAGGATTATTACCCACCAGTCACAAGGCCAGCTCTGCCTAGAATGATCCTATTCTAATTGCCCCCTCCTGCTGGCTTAGTCAGCAGAGTCCTGATCACAGCCTCCCACTCTCTCCCCAGGCCCAGTACAGTGGTTTCCTCTTCTTCCATGAGGGCTGGCCTCTCTGCCTGCACGAGCGGGTGGTGGTGCAGCTAGCAGCCCTGCCCTGGCAGCTACTGCGCCCGGGAGACTTCTACCTGCAAGTGGTACCCTCAGCAGCCCAAGCACCCCGCCTGGCACTCAAGTGCCTGGCCCCAGGGGGTGGGCGGGTGCAGGAGCTGCCTGTGCCCAATGAGGCCTGTGGCTACCTATTCACACCTGAGTGGCTACAAGGCATCAACAAGGACAGGCCAACGAGCCGCCTCAGTACCTGCCTCCTGTCTGCGCCTTCTGGGATTCAGCGGCTGCCCTGGGCCGAGCTCATCTGCCCACGATTTGTGCATAAAGAGAGTCTCATGGTTGGACATCGACCAAGCACATTACCCCCAGAGCTGCCCTCTGGACCCCTGGGGCTCCCCAGCCCTCCACTCCCTGAGGAGGCCCTGGGTACGCGGAGTCCCGGGGATGGACACAATGCCCCTGCTGAAGAACCCGAGGGTGAATATGTGGAGCTGTTGGAAGTGACACTGCCCGTGAGGGGGAACCCCACAGATGCTGAAGGCTCCTCTGGCCTCTGCAGAACTCGGACAGTACCCACCCGCAAGGGGGCTGGAGGGAAGGGCCGGCACCGGAGACACCGGGCATGGATGCACCAGAAGGGCCTGGGGCCTCGGGACCAGGATGGGGCACGCCCACCCGGGGAGGGGAGCAGCACTGGGGCCACCCCCGCATTTCCCCTGGGAGCTGAGGCTCTTCCAGAGGTAGCAGTCCTGGAGGGGTCTGAGCCTCCAGCACAGCCCCTAGGAGAAGCTTCTGAGTCTTGCATCCTAAGGCCAGGGGAGGTTGGGGCAGGGTCAGGCCAGGGGGCCGAGGGGCCACCTGGTACCCCTCGGAGAATAGGCAAAGGAAACAGGAGAAAGAAGAGGGCTGCAGGCAGAGCGGCTCTTAGCCGAGGAGGAGATAGTGCCCCACTGAGCCCTGCGGACAAGGAAGAGAGCAGCCACCAGGAAGCTCTCATCAATCTGCCCCCGCCAAATGAACAAGAACTTCCAGAATGCAGCCTGGTTAAGGAGGAGCATGAAGACTCAGGGAAGCCCGAGTCTAAGCCAAAAGAGGAGCTGAAACCAGTAGAGGAAAAAGAGCCCTGGTCCCCAGAGGCCTGTGGGCCTACAGAAGAGGGAGCCCAAGAGACAGAGCGAGAGGGACGGAGCCTGGTGTGTATGGCAGGTGAGATGACAACGAGTCTGATGGGGTAAGGGCCAGAGCAGGTCGAGCCTAGGGCAAGGGGTTGGAGGAGGAGCAGGGGCTAGTCTGGGAGCAGAACAGCTAGACCCATCCTCACGCCAAGCCACAGCTCCGTTTGTGTCTGTGCAGGACTCACAGGCCCAGAGGGGCTCCTGTCTGACCCTCCCCTGGAGACTGTGCAGGAAGTGAAAGGGGACAGCATCCCAGAAGAGGCCCCTCCAGTCTCCATCTCTGATGACCCTGATGTACCTTGGGACTTGATGGCATCTGGATTCCTCGTCCTAACTGGTCAGTGGGCATCAGTGGGTGAAGGGAAAGGGGACCGGCGAAAGAGGGGCAATTGAGGTGGGCTTGGAAGGGGGGCAGACTGGATGGGAGGTAGCCAAGGACAGCCCCCAGCCAGGACAGCCTGGCCGTTTTGTGTCCTCAGGAGGGGTGGACCAGAGTGGGCGAGCTCTGCTGACCATTACCCCATCGTGCCCTCCTGAGGAGCCCCCACCCTCCCGAGCCATGCTGAGCACTGCTCTTCATTACCTCCACTCACTGCTCAGGTAACCGAGGCCCAGCACTGGCACATTGGACATTAACCTCCTGACTCATGAGGACCCTGATCTCCTCTCTTCTCAGGACACTGACCTCCTGACTCTAGGACACCTACTTCTTCAACCCTCAGATTATCAAGGCCTTGACCTCTGACCTTACTGACCCCTGACCTCCAGGATAATGTCTTCATTGATCCTCAAAATGAATACCCCTGATTTTCAATATCCTATGACACTAGATTATCAGGACACTGACGCACTCATTCAACAACTATTTTTTGCTCACCAAGTACCTATTATACACCATTTGCTAAGTGCTAGCATTTAATCCGTACCTTTCCAAACATAGGGTTCCTCACCTTCCCGACCCTGATCCATTGACCCAGTAGCCATGTGAACATAGACTCCTAATTGCTAAATCATAATCACTTTGACACATATCCCAGACTTCGGCCCTTTGCCTATTGCCTCCCCTAACATACCAGGAACTAACTTCGCCTGAGGACTATTAACACTAAAAGCAGACCCTGTACCTCTGTACTGCCTGTCTACATCCTGCCTCTCCCAACTCACACAGCAGCCTCCTTGGCTCTTCCTGCCCCCGCAGGCCTGACCTACAGATACTGGGGCTATCTGTGCTGCTGGACCTTCGCAAGGCACCCCCACTGCCTCCAGGGCTCATTCCTGTCCTGAGTCAACTTCAGGTAACCACACCCTTGAGACATACACTTTCTCTACATCCTACCTCTTCCCTGGGGACTATTTCAGGCCACCCAGCTGCCCACAGTTTAGAGTTATTCCTTTCTGCCCCTAGGACTCAGGAAACCCTCCTGTCATTCAGCGGCTGATGATTCTCACTCATGACGACCCACAAACTGATCTCTGTGGATTTCAGGTTTGACCCCCTCACTCCCACCCTAGTCCCCCAGAAGAGGCTGGCTTGAGCCCCAGGCTGGCCCCTGAATCCCTGGGTCGCAGGCCAGAAATCCCCTGCCTTCACACGTCTACAGGGTGCCGAGTTGCTATCAGAGAATGACCTGAAAAGAGTGGCCAAGCCAGAGGAGCTTCAGTGGGACTTGGGAGGCCACAGGGAGCCCTCTCCCGGCCACTGGGTAGAGATACATCAGGTAAGCATCATCTCCCCCACCTAGGACACTGGGAACCGGGAATGATCCAACTAACAACAGTCTAGGTGAGACAGCAGACCTGAGACATGATCATGGGGTTGGGAAAAGGCATTTTCCATTCCATTCAATTCAACAAGTTTTTTACTGAGCATTTACCATGAGCAAAATATTGTGCATTGTACCATGGGCTGCTGGGGGAGATGGAAGGAGTGTGTTAAGTAAATTCTTAATATGACGTTAAGTAGCATGATTTTGTGTGGGACATAAATAAGTCATGAAACAATTAGAGAAGAGTGAAAAATAGTGTCATTGAGGTTCTGGAAAGATCTGAGAGTCAGGAAGGCAGGTTATGGATCCAAGTGACCTTAGACAACTTACTTCCCTCACATCCCAAGAGGGTGCCCTTTTCTGTACCTGCACCAACATCCAGGCCTCAAGATCTTCATCCACTATCCATCTGCAAAAAACTGAAACAAGACCCACACCTTACACCATGCACAAAAACTAACTCAAAGTGGATCAAAGACCTAATATAAAATCTAAAATGATAAAGATCATGGAAGAAAAAATAGGGACAATGCTAGGAGCCCTAATGCGTGGCATAAACAGAATACGAAGCATACGTAACAATGCACAAACACCAGAAGAGAAACTAGATAACTGGGAGCTCCTAAAAATCAAACACTTATGCTCATCAAGAGACTTCACCACAAGAGCAAAAAGACAACCTACAGACTGGGAAAAAAATTTTGGCTATGACAAATCCGATCAGCGTCTAAGCTCTAAAATCTACAAGATACTGCAAAACCTCAACAAAAAGACAAATAACCCAATTAAAAAATGGGCAAAGGATATGAACAGGCACTTCACCTAAGAAGATATTCAGGCAGCTAACAGACACATGAATAAATGCTCATGATCATTAGCCATTAGAGAAATGCAAATCAAAACTACAATGAGATACCATCTCACCCCAACAAGGCTAGCATTAATCCAAAAAACACAAAATAATAAATGTTGGAGAGGTTGTGGAGAGACTGGAACACTTATACACCATTGGTGGGAATATAAAATGGTACAGCCACTTTGGAAATCCGTTTGGCGCTTTCTTAAAAAGCTAGAAATAGAAGTACCATATGATCCAGCAATCCCGCTCCTTGGAATATGTCCTAGAGAAATAAGAGCCATCACACGAATAGATATATGCACACCCATGTTCTTTGCAGCACTGTTCACAATAGCAAAAAGATGGAAACAGCCTAGGTGCCCATCAACGGACAAATGGATAAACAAATTATGGTATATTCACACAATGGAATATTATGCAAAGATAAAGAACAACAATGAATCTGTGAAACATCTCATAACATGGAGGAATCTGGAAGGCATTATGCTGAGTGATTTTAGTCAGTCGCAAAAGGACAAATATTGTACAAGACCACTATTATAAGAACTCAAGAAAAGGTTTAAACACAGAAGAAAACATTCTTTGATGGTTACGAGGGTGGGGAGGGAGGAAGAGGGGTATTCACTAACCAGATAGTAGACAAGAATTAGGTGAAGGGAAGGACAGCGTGAACTACAGGGGAAGTCAGCACAACTAAACTAAACCAAAGCTCAGAAGTTTCCTGAATACAGCCAAATATTTTGAGGAACAGAGTAGCAGGGGCACGGGTCTGGGGACCATGGTTTCAGGGGACATCTAGGTCAATTGGCATAACAAAGTTTATTAAGAAAAGGTTCTGCATCCTACTTTGTCGAGTGGCGTCTGGGATCTTAAAAGCTAGTGAGCGGCCATCTAAGATGCATCAATTGGTCCCAACCCACCTAGAATAAAGGAGAATGAAGAACATCATAGACACAAGGAAAGTATTAGCCCAAGAGACAGAAAGGGCCACATAAGCCAGAGACTTCATCAGCCTAAGACCAGAAGAACTAGATGGTGCCCGGCTACCACCAATGACTGCCCTGACGGCGAACACAACAGATAGTCCCTGATGGAGCAGGAGAAAAGTGGGGTGCAGAACTCAAATTCTAGTAAAAAGACCAGTCTTAATGGTCTGAGACTGGAGGGACCGCGGAAGACATGACCCCCAGACTTTCTGTTAGCCCAAAACTAAAACCATCCCCGAGGCCAACTCTTCAGACAAAGATTAGAGTGGACTATGGGAAATAAAATGATACTCGTGAAGAGTGTGCTTCTTAGCTCAAGTAGATACATGAGACTAAATGGGCAACTTCTGTCCAGAGGCGAGATGAGAAGCCAGAGGGTCAGGAGCTGGTTGAATGGACATGGGAAATCCAGGGTGGAAAGGAGGAGTGTGCTGTCACCGTATAGGGAGAGCAACTAGGGTCGCATAACAATATATGTATAAATTTTTGTATGAGAGACTAACTTGAATTGTAAAGTTTCACTTAAAGCACACAATAAAAAAAAAAAAAAAGATCCTCATCCACAAAGTACAGCAATTGTGATATGATCTCTAAGGTCTTTCTAGCACTTACCTTCCATGATTCTATGAATCTAGGTGCTATGAGTATTCTAGAAGAGAGGAGAGATCACAGCTGAGTATTAAGGGGGACTGTGCAGAGAGAAAGGAGACTCACATTTATTGAGCTGCGTAGTGTGCCAGGCCCATGGTACTGCACTGGCATCATGTCTTTATACCTCAACAAATCCTGTGTGTCTCATCCTGACTTCACAGTTGAGCAAACTGAGATTCAGGAAGGTTCCTGGACCTGCCCAAGGTCATACAACTAGTAAGCAACCAAGTCAGGAACTGAACCCAGCTCTACCTCCATAATAGAGCCTCCGGGGCCCCCACACTCCACCCCCACCTAACCTCTGTCCCTCCACCGCATCTCTGTGTGTGTCTCAGGAAGTGGCAAGGCTGTATCACCTGTGCCAAGGTGTACTGGGCTCTGTACGGCAGGCCATTGAAGAGCTGGAGGGAGCAGCGAAGCCAGAGGGAGAGGTATGAAATGAGACAGGACAGCAGTGGGTGGGCTGGGGCTGGGGCTGGGCTGGCATGGGGACGTTCTGGTGGAAATGTAACTGTCAACTTCTCCCTGCCCCCAGGAGACAGTGGGAATGCCCGAGCCCCTGCAGAAGGTGCTGGCAGATCCTCGGCTGACAGCACTACAGAGGGATGGGGGTGCCACCCTGATGAGGCTGCGCTCCACCCACAGCAGCAAGTACGGGGGACGGGTGTGTGGAGGGAGGTGAATCGGGAGGTGGAGACCCAACAGAAGGCCTTAGCTGCCAAGTGATTCTTACTGACCATGTAACTGGGCAAGATATGCTTTCACATATATTATCTCATGACCCTCATAATGTCGCTACGTGCTAGTTACGATTATAAATGAAGATTTGGAGGAGCAAAAATGTTAGCTGTCTTGGCCAAAGTCAGTCAGTAAACGGAAGAGTCAGAATTGAAATCCAGGCAGTCTGAGTAAGGTCCATACTCTCATCCATGATGCTATGCCACCTCTCATGCTTTCACCCCCATATTGGAGGGATGCCAGGATGGAATTGGGGTGCTCAACAAGGGCAATGGTTTATTCTGCCCCTCATCCTTCCCCAGATTGGAGGGCCCGGGCCCAGCCACATTGTATCAGGAGGTAGACGAAGCCATTCACCAGCTTGTGCGCCTCTCCAACCTACACGTGCAGCAGCAGGAGCAGCGACAACGCCTCCAGCGACTCCAGCAGGTAATCCAGGACCCCCACACCCCTCCTGCTAGGCCTGTGAGCCTGGCCTCCAACACCACCTTTTCTGCTGACACTGGCAGCTGATGGTGTTCTAGCTTGGCTTGGCTGAATGCCTTCTCCCCTTCTCCTCACCTGCCTTCAAGGTTGGTCATGGCCAGTGTGAGATTCAAAAAGAGAGTGGGAATATCTCAGCACCCACAAAAAGAAGAATCCAGGTCTACTTCTCCCCACTGTTTATGTTTGATCAGGGATCCTTGGAGATTGTCAGAGATGTTCAGGTGCTCTAGGGGATTCTGAGAAGAGTTGATTGACTCTGTTGTTCCTACCTCCCTAGCTTAAAAATAATACATACCAGCTCTTCAGCTACATGGCCAGCCGTCCTCCTTCTACTCCTTACACAATGTCATCCTCCAAACCTGAGGCTGGAAAGGTCCCACCTCCCTCCACCTTGGAAGGAGTGGGCATTGGACGCCTCTAGATGCTTTGGGAACCACAAGTCTCTTAGTGAGGAAGATGCAGGGATAACAGCTGCCCTCTCTGAACCTTGGCTCTTCTCTCCTGGGGTTAAGAGCCCCATAGAAGTTTGGGATAGGAGGGCTTTGAAATCTGATTGTTCCTCCTTAGCCCCAAGCGTGGTGGGTGAACACTTCACGGACCTCGAATGTGGGCAGCAGAGGAAGGTCATCTCAGGGTCAAGGCCAAAGGCTTTCTGTTTCCTGCGATTTCTGCATATTGGCATCTTCTATCACAATATCCAAGGGGTTGCATCTCCTACTGTTCATTTGCTTGCTTGTTATCTGTTTTAAAACTCTGTTCAAAAACTGTTAGCACACAGAATTTGGAGTCTAAAGTGCTCAGCTTGAGTTCTAGGTGTGAGATGCTGGACAAGTCATGAAGTTTCTCTGACTTCCCAAGTCCTCGTCTATACAATAGGGATGATACTAACACTTAACTCACAAAGGTGTTAGGATGATTCAGTGAATTCAGCAGAGGACTATAAAGTACGTATTCTTGATACTGGTTATAAGGAACATTCTCAGACTTCTCAGGCTGTCCCACCCTAGCTTCCAACCTTTCTCCAGAGGGAAAAATAACTATCCCTTTTTGGTCAAATATTCCAGCATCAGAGTTCCTATAGTTTCCAGAATAGGCAACTAGAGCTGGGGGCATGTATGTGTGCGCACCCATGCGTGCGCGCGCGCACACAGACACATATATATATATACACACACACACACAGAGTTACCCCCTGTGCCATCTCTCCAGGCCTGGTCCTAGGACTCCTGTCCACCAGTTGCTACAGGTTCACTTGGCACCCATGAGACTCAATGAAATGAAATTTACCCTGGCCCTGGCTTATCCAAACGACCTTCTTCCTGCCTCTTGTTATACCATTTTATCTATTTTGCCCTTCAGGCATAGCCTGGGAATTCTAATCCACCTCCCTCAGTGCTTTGGGCCAGCCCACCTTCCCCCTTATCGGGTGCTTACAAAAGATTTCTTACCTAATTTCTCACTTGACAATTGTAAAAACTATTACCATTCCCTATTATCTCTCCAGATCCCTGGTGGCACAGTGGTTAAGAGCTCAGGCTGCTAACTAAAAGGTCGGCAGTCTGAATCCACAAGCTGCTCCTTGGAAACTGTATAGGGCAGTTCTATTCTGTCCCATAGGCTCACTATGAGTCGGAATTGACTTGACAGCAATGGGTTTTTTATTATCATTCCCACTTTTCAGAAGAGATGAAATGGGCTGCCCAAGGTTCTGTAGATAAGGGTGGTGGAGTTGGAGCTTGATCTCAGCCTGCCCTTTCCTTTCCACTGCACAGCCTCTTTCCCACTCATTGCCCTGCTCTTCCATCCCATCTGCCTCAGGTGCTACAGTGGCTCTCTGGCCCAGGAGAGGAGCAGCTGGCAAGCTTTGCTATGCCCGGGGACTCCCTGTCTGCCCTGCAGGAGACAGAGCTTCGATTCCGGGCTTTCAGTGCTGAGGTTCAGGTTAGGAGAGGGAGGCGACCAGACAGAAGGGACCTGCAGGGAGGGAGGGAGGGAGAGACCAACTGGAAGTGGGGACCAGGTCTCAGTGCAGCCCTTCTTCTCCAGGAGCGCCTGGCTCAGGCGCGGGAGGCCCTGGCGCTGGAGGAGGACACAGCCTCCCAGAAGGTCCTGGATGTCTTTGAACAGCGGCTGGAGCAGGTTGAAAGTGGCCTCCATCGGACCTTGCGGCTTCAGCGCTTCTTTCAGCAGGTGTGTGCAGAGCCTCTTGCTTCTGTCCCACTGATGGCCTTCCTTTGCCTGGAGAGGCTGATCAGATAGCACGGACTCAGCAGCCCATCTCCCTGGTTTTGAATCCTAGCTCTGCAGCCTATTTGCCGAAGGACCTGGCGCAAGGTACTAAACCTGAAGGTGCCTGAGTAGGCCCCTCCCTCTCAGGGTTGCTGTGAGGACTGCATGAGCAGTATCTTAAAGACATTTACTACAGAGCCTGCTACTCTATATAGGTATTAGTGATTCTTTTATCTAGGTTCTTCTGTCTCCATATCAAACCAAACCAGTTACCATTGAGTTGATTATGACTCTTGGAGACCCCGTATGTGTCAGAGTAGACTTGCTCCATAGGGTCTTCAATGGCTGTTATCTTTCAGAAGTGGATCACCAGGACTTTCTTCTGAGTCACCTCTGGGTAGATGAAGTCCCTGGGTGGGGCAAATGGTTAACATGCTTGGCTGTTAACCGAAAAGTTGACGATTTAAGTCCACCCAGAGGTGCCTCAGAAGACAGGCCTGGTGATCTACTTCCAAAAAATCAGCCATTGAAAACCCTATGTCAGTTTTTACTCTGATACACACGAGGTCTCCATGAGTCAGAATCAACTCAATGGCAACTTTTTTTTTTTTCTTCCCGTCTCCATACTAACTCAGCTTAGGCAGTGATGCTGGGATAGAGAGAGGTGTTCTGAGATGATGGGGAGGGGTAGGGGCATTAGGAAGTCATCCACAAAAGAGGACAAGAGCTATCATTGGGCATGTGGGAGCAGCATAGGACCTCACACCTTTTTCTCCCCATTCCTAACCCCTTTGGCCTTATAGGCACATGAGTGGGTGGATGAGGGTTCTGCCCGCCTGGCTGGAGCTGGGCTAGGTCGGGAGGCCGTGCTGGCAGCCCTGGCCCTGCGGCGAGCCCCGGAGCCCAGCGCTGGCACCTTCCAAGAGATGCGGGCCCTGGCCCTGGACCTGGGCAGCCCAGCAGCACTACGAGAGTGGGGCCGATGCCGGGCCCGCTGCCAAGAGCTGGAGAGGAAGATTCAGCAACAACTGGGAGAGGAGGCGAGTCCACAGGGCCACCGGCGAAGACGAGCAGACAGCGCCAGCAGTGGAGGGACCCATCGGGGTCCCCACAGTCCCTCACCCAGCCTCAGCTCCCTGTTGCTCCCCAGCAGCCCAGGGCCACGGTCAGCCTCATCCCATTGCTCCCTGGCCCCCTGCGGAGAGGACTATGAGGAAGAGGGCCCTAAGCTGGCTCCAGAAGCAGAGGGCAGACCCCCGCGGGCCGTGCTGATCCGAGGCCTGGAGGTCACCAGTACCGAAGTGGTAGATAGGACATGCTCACCACGGGAACACGTGCTGCTGGGCCGGGCCCGGGGGCCAGACGGGCCCTGGGGAGTAGGCACCCCTCGGATGGAGCGCAAGCGAAGCATCAGGTGAGAGCCTAGCCCAATTGGTGCCAAGAGGTCCGATCGCCAGGCTGGAAAACAATATGGCATTGTTGGGGGTGGCGACTCCCTGCCATACCCAGGTGACACCTCTGCCACTCCTTGTTGTTCCTGCAGTGCCCAGCAGCGTCTGGTGTCTGAGCTGATTGCCTGTGAGCAGGAGTACGTGGCCATCTTGAGTGAGCCAGTGCCAACCCCTGGGCCTGAGCTGACCCCTGAACTGCGGGGCACCTGGGCTGCTGCACTGAGTGCCCGGGAGAGGCTTCGTAGCTTCCACCGGACACACTTTCTGCGGGAGCTTCAGGGTTGCGCCACCCACCCTCTGCGCATTGGGGCCTGCTTCCTACGTCATGTGAGTAACCTTCCAAAACTCCTCAGGTCCTCTCCCTTCCCACGTTCCAGACCCATCACCTGCCCTCTTTATCAGTACCTGCCCCTCCAAATGTGGGGCCCAAGGCCCTGGGCCCCAAGCCTGTTCTCTATGTCCCTGGCCTTAAGTGCTGCCTGGACTTCACTCACTCCACGGGGGGGCCCATCATTTCCTGGGCAGACCCAGTACTTCCTGGTGGCCAGTGTCTCCTATGGGTGGCTGTGTGGGATGGAGGATGGGAGGATGAGAACGAGAGGCTTATCTGCAAGGCCTCATGGGGGATGGTTTACCTGTTCCCTATTGGCACAGGGGGACCAGTTCAGCCTTTATGCCCAGTACGTGAAACACCGACACAAACTGGAGAATGGTCTGGCTGCCCTCAGCCCCCCTACCAAGGTAACCTTTTCTCCAACCCTCATAGGAAGGGCAGAGGGGCCGGGAAGATCTCAAACCCACCTGACCTCAAAATCCCTCAGGGAAAAAGAGCTTTCCTGGGTGTGGCCAGGCACATCACCTACCAGTAACATCCCCCAGAATTGGTGAGGGTAGGACAAGCACTGGATTAGGGGCCAGGTTAGCCTGGGTTTTCACCTAGTCCACTAAAGGGACCTTGGGTAAGACTCTTGATTCCTCTGGGCCTCCATTCCTACATCTGGTAAATGGGGCAGTATTCACTATATCTAACTCTCAGGATCAAATGACCTCACATCAGAAGATGGGAAAGTGACTGGAAAGTGAAAAGCCAGAAAGTATAAAGGATTATCATTCTTATTCCTCTTCCATTTTCCCTCAAGATATAGAGGATGACTGAATCTTCTGCAGGCTCCCTGCCTGCTTTCTTTCCCCGGGGCAGGTTTTTGGACATACATTTTGGAGTATCTCGTGTTTGCCATGAGTCGGAATTGACTTGAGGGCAACTAACAACAACAACAACAAGGCTTCATCTAAAAGGAGTGTGGGTGACACAAGTGATTTGCGATTGGCTGCTAACCTAAAGGTTAGCAGTTGGAACCTACTCAGTGGCATCATGGAGGAAAGACCTGGCGAACTACTTCCGTAAAGATTACAGCCAAGAAAACCCTATGGAGCAGTTCTGCTGTGTAACACATGGGGTCTTCATGAGTTGGGGGCTGACTTAATGGCAGCCAGCAAAAACAGGCTTCATCTACATCCAAAAGCCTGGAGTGCCACCTACCTCCCACCCCCAGAGTTTGGCCCACACCAGCTTCAGCCCCTCCCTTCATCCTGTCTGTCTCCTCCCTGACCTAGGGCTCCATGGAGGGTGGCCCTCACCTGCCCCGGGCCCTGCAGCAGCCTCTGGAGCAGCTGGCTCAGTATATACGGCTCCTGGAGGAGCTCCTGAGGGAAGCTGGGCCTGAGCTGAGTTCTGAGCGCCAGGCCCTTGGGGCTGCCGTGCAGCTGCTCCAGGAACAAGAAGCCCGTGGCAGAGACCTGCTGGCCGTGGAGGCGGTGCGTGGCTGCGAGGTGAGGCCATAGCTCCAGTCACTCCTGCTTAAACAGCCTAGCCCTGTGGCCTCACAAGCACTGTGTGCTGGTGGCAAGAGAACTAAACTCAAGGTCACGGGGCCCTAGGCTCTCATTTCTAATCAGCTATGTGGCCTGGGCTGAGTCACTGAATTTCGCTGGACCTCAGTTTCCTCATCTGTAAATGAGGAAGCTATGTCCTGCCTGACTTGAAATTCCATGCCCTCCTGCTCCTTTTCTAATCCTTATGTTTCCCCGTCTACCCTACACCTCCTCCTGCATCTCAGCATCCAACACATACCTTACTCTCCTCTACCTAGTCTCTTTTCCAGCCCTAACAGGCTTAATGCCACTTGGATTCCTACCTCCTCCGGGATAGACCTTTCTCTCTTCACTTCTTTGCTGCTTCTCTTCCTGGGGCAAAATGGTGCTTCACTTCCCAACATACAAAACCTTCTCTTGGGAGTCTAGTGTGTAAACCTTATGGTGCAGTGCACCTTCCCCTCTTCAGAGGCAGGGCTGTGCTGCTAGGCCAGGTGTGCTGTGCATGATGACCAGTGGATGGATTCTAGGCTGACTGCCTCCCTGATCTCCTAACTCTGCCTGAGAACCAGTGCAGTAGGCCCCTTGCCTTATAAATCCTGTTTTTACTCCCCACAAAGCATACACATAGTGCTCCTGGGCCAACGGCCTTTCCTTTTTCTTTCCCCAGATAGATTTGAAGGAGCAGGGACAACTCCTACATCGGGACCCCTTCACTGTCATCTGTGGCAGAAAGAAGTGCCTTCGCCATGTCTTCCTCTTTGAGCATCTTCTCCTCTTCAGCAAGCTCAAGGGCGCTGAGGGAGGGTCAGAGACCTTTGTTTACAAGCTGGCCTTTAAGGTATAATGCCTGGAGTGAAGGGAAGCGAGTCGTGTTCTTTTTGAGAACGTAGGGTGCTCTGGAAACTAACCCCAACCCAGGTCCAGAATCTGCATCATCTGGAAACAGGCTTTGGCCTGTAATCAGCCATCAGGTCAGGGTGTCAGGGGCTAAGTGTCCCTGTCACTGGTCCACCCCAGAGGGTTTTCCTTATTGTTCATGAAGGAAACTCATTAGGCACTCCTCGAGTCCAAAATGGAGGACCCTTCCCATTAAGAGCACACATCTTTTGAGCTAGAGGGGCTTCCTGGGAGATAGGGAGAAAGGACTCTATAGATATAGCTTAACTTGACTGAACTGAAGCACCCAAGAAGAGGGGCAGGAAGGCCTTCCTTTAGGAAACTGCCATGGTATCCTGACAAACGTCCACAGCAACCTGCGGTCCTGGGTCAGGCAGTGTGGAATGATTCTAAGGATTTCTAGACTTTGTACCCCTAACTTAGTTCCAGCTCTTTAGGAGGGAGGTCTACAGTACACAGTATAGAGGAAAAGGCCTGCACAGACATGGGTTCAAATCCTAACTCTCTCTGATAAGCTATAATAAGCACATGGGCAAGTTGCTTCATGTCTGTGGGCCCCATTCCCCTTTTGTGAATTAGGGTTGTTATGAAGACTAAACGTAGAGCACTTGGCACATGGTAGGTGTTAAGCGCGCATTTACTGAATACCTACCAGATGCCAGGCACTGGGCTAAGCGTAGTCCTTGCCCATGTGCTACCATCTCTCCAGGACGCGCTCCATCTTCACCCAGTCCCCTCTGCTCTTCCTCAGACTGCTGACATGGGGCTGACAGAGAACATCGGGGACAGCGGGCTCTGCTTCGAGCTGTGGTTTCGGCGGCGGCGGGCACGAGAGGCATACACTCTGCAGGCCGCCTCGCCAGAGATCAAACTCAAGTGGACAAGTTCTATTGCCCAGCTGCTGTGGAGACAGGCAGCCCACAACAAGGGTACTGGGCAGAGCCAGGGGAGGGTGTGCTTAGAGCCAGGGTTATGGCAGAAGGCTATCTGGAGAGCATGGAGACCACTTGGGAAAACAGGGTGTAGGATGAACAAAGAAGAGTGACTTATGAAAAGACTCAAGATCTGGCTTGAGAGAGAGGTTGCTGAGACAGAAATTAGTCTAAGGTGTACCAAAAGGGAAGAGAAAGCAAGCAAATTTTAGGGAAACGAGCAAATGGCTAGGCAAAAGAAGGCAAGAGACTGCTCACTGGACTTGGGCTCAAGAACTGGCACCATTTACTTGCTGTGTAGCCTGGACTAGGTTTATTTTTCTTTTGTTTTGCTAGTTGTTGGTTTTTGTTTCATTCTGGATGCTTGGAACCTCATTCCACTCATCTAAAAAATGGAGATAGTAATATTTACATCTTAGCATGATAAACCAAAACCAAACCTGTTGTCGTCAAGTCAATTCTGACTCACTAATAGTGACCCTATAGGACAGAGTAGAACTGCCCCATAGGGTTTCCAAGGCTGTAATCTTTACGGAAGTAGACTGCCACATCTTTCTCCTTGGGAGCAGCTGGTGGGTTCGAACCGCCAACCTTTGGGTTAGCAGCCAAACGCTTAACCACTGTGTCACCAGGGCTCGATAGTGAGGATTAAATAAGGTGATATATATAAGGAAGCACTTTGCAAACTATAAAGGTACATAGAAATGTGAGTTTTGCTCTTAATGCCCAAGATAAGGGGAAGAAGGTGGGTATTAGAAGAGAAGTTGGGTGGCTGGGATGTCAAAGGTGTAGGATGCAACATATAAGACAGACAGATGCCTAGAGACGAAGTCAAAAACCACCATCACCATCCGTGTCGTGATAGTCAATGGAAAGAGTAACAAGAGACTCCAGAGTAACGAGAGGGAGAACAAGAGCTGGGAAATGGCCAACAGAAGGATCAACCATGACAGTGCTAGAGCAGGAAGAGGAGGGGCAGAGGAGGTTGGTGACAGGGTTTCTGTTCCTCAGAGCTCCGAGTGCAGCAGATGGTCTCCATGGGCATTGGGAATAAACCCTTCCTGGACATCAAAGCCCTTGGGGAACGGACGTTGAATGCCCTGCTCACTGGAAGAGGTGAGGGCCAGAGTGCTGGTGGGTGGCCCCCCGAAGTCAAGACTCTGAGAATGAGGGCACAATGGGAGGTGTGGTGGAAAGTGAGGAAGGGTAACAGAGTGGGCATCTCTTCCCAGAAACCATGGGACTGACTGGGAGGCCCTCTATGAGACTGAGGGTCCTTCCAGGGAGCCAGGAGGGCTTTCCCACACCAGCACCCCACCCTCCCCCACCCCCGCTCTCTGCAGCCGCCCGCACCCGGGCCTCCGTGGCCGTGTCATCTTTTGAGCATGCCGGCCCCTCCCTTCCCGGCCTCTCGCCGGGAGCCTGCTCCCTGCCTGCCCGCGTCGAGGAGGAGGCCTGGGATCTGGACGTCAAGCAAATTTCCCTGGGTGAGGCACCTCTCGGGGTGGCTCCCAACAGCTGGGTCAACGTGGTGATGTTCAGGCTGCTTGCTGCTGAGCAAATCCTCTTTCTAGCCAAGTAGCCCAGTCGCCATGGCAACTATGTACAGCTTCCCCATTGCTAAGAATCTTCCATCTGGTTGCTAGGGTGATGCTTACAGCAGCCTGTTGCTAAGAAGCACTTCCTCTGTACCTCTCTCTCTAGCTCTCCTTGAGTTTCTATGGAAACTGCCTCAGCTTTCTGTTGTACCCTCCTGGTTCACCACTGCAATCTTTATAGTTTCCTGTCGCTTCTTCCCTGGTTGCTCTAATGATGCTGCTGACAATTTCCTGCCTCTTGGTAGGGGGTTCTCTTGCATCTGGATTGCTATGGTGACTCACAGCTTCCTGTTGCTATGGAGCTTTTTCTTCCCTGATGGAGCAGCTTGGTTGCTTAAGGTAATCTGGAAGGCTTCTATATTCTGCTCTCACCCTAGCTTCCCCTCCAGCCCCAGAAACACTTGACTCTTCTGGAGATGTGTCCCCAGGACCAAGAAACAGCCCCAGCCAGCAACCCCCCGACCCTGGGAGCAGCACTCCCACCCTGGCCAGTGGAGGGATCTTAGGGCTATCCCGGCAGGTAAGTCCATAGGGCTGGGAATAGGGTGATCTCTTTGGCCACTTTCTAGGTGGGTTCTTCTGATCACTGAACCTACTGGGGTGGGGGAGGCAGTGATCCTGTGCTCCTAGCTGAGGCTACAGATTGGATATATTGTCTAGCCTGCCTCTCTCCATTCCCCAGGCCCAGATGAGAGGCATCAAGGTTGGAGCTGTAAAGGAATTTTTAATAAGGAGCATACTGGGTAGAAAGGGAAGAATGCCAAGGGCCTGGTTTGGACTTGGGTTAAATCAACAAGATTCAGGAATCTTGGAGAGAAGAGAGGTGAATTGACAAGCTTGGGAGAGAAAGATGGGGGATATGGGGAAGAGGTCACTTTTTTTCCTTTAAATTCACTGCATCTTCTCTCTCCTCAGAGTCATGCCCGAGCCCTAAGTGACCCCACCACCCCTCTGTGACGTGGGTGAGTCAGTATCCCCTTTCTACCACCTCAACATTCCTTTCCTTCTGCACGTCCCTTTCTTCCTCCCCCCAGCTGCTTGGCAGTCAGCTTCCTCCCTCTCCCAACCCATGTCCCTCTTCTCCCCTGACTTTTGTCTTGCAGAGAAGGTCCAGAACATTGCCGCAGCCCCTCCTCTCAGCACACCTTGGTCTGGGATGGTGGTGGGACATAATGGAGACTGGGAGAACATTGAACTCCTTCGCTCTGCTTCTTGGACAGAGAGGTGGTCAAAGGACAAGCGCATTCCTCTGCTACCGCTGTCTCTAGCTCTCCCAGCCCAGTGCCTTCTCCTCCTGGAACCAGAGTGGATGCATTTGCTTGACTTCATACCCTGGAGGCCAGGAAATGATCCCTCTTCAGTCCTTCCCCATCCTGGGCTGCTGCATACCCCCAGGGCACGGTGCCCACTCTAGCCTTCCTCTGCCAGTCTGCCTTCTCCCTTTCTCACCCTCTGACTCTCCCTGAGAAAATTCATCTCTACCAGGTCAACTGGAGTTCCTGGTGATTCTATTATGGGGTGTGTCAGATGAAAAGAAGCTATGCAAACCATTATAGGAGGGTGGGGCGGGGGACTGAAGGCTTTATATATGTAATTACTGTTATTATAGCACTGTTGTTATATTAAATGTATTTACTCACACTTTGCCTCCCAGGAGCTACAGCAGCCCTCTGGGTTGAAGTGATACTACTAACTTGAGCACTTCCCCTCACCCAACCGTTAACTTCTTGTTGTTAGTTTTGACTCATGGTGACCACGACCACGTGTGCAGAGTAGAACTGCTCCATGGGGTTTTCAAGGCTGTGACCTTTTAGAGCCAGATAGTCACCAGACCTGTCTTCCAAGGCACCTCTGGGTGGGTTCAAACTGCTAACCTTTTGACTAGTAGTAGTCTACTGCTTAACCATCTGCGCCACCCGGGGACCTTAACCATTAACTAACACAGAAAATAAAGCCAAGGCTGCAAGGTATTCTCTACCCTTTACTGGGCCAAAGCTGGCTGTGCATGAGCTCTGGAGATTGTGCCTCCTTATGGTGGCTCCCAGAGGCTCAACGCATCCTTTGAAGCTCTTCCTTTCCACACTACCACCCACTTCTGGAGGCCGAGCTGGTCACAGACAAACTGGGACTCAGCAGTCCAGCAGTTCTCAAAATGAGGTCCTCAGGCCACTGCACATGAGAAGCCTCTAGGCTACCTGTTAAATGCTAATTCCTGGGCTGGCTCCACCTCAGAGCTACTGAATCTGAGGCTTAGGGGTAAAGCCCAAGATTCTGCATTCTTGTCAAGTTCTTTGGGTGACTACTTCCTGGGCAAAAGAGCCCAATGAGGGGGACAGGACATAGACAGACACAGCGCCCTGTGCCTCAAGACATCTGTTTATTGGGGACACGACTCTGCCACAGGGATCGTACCAAAAATAGCGACGTCTACAGGACCCCTGATGGGGCTAGAAGGGTACAGGGCCCCCCACCCCCACCCGTTGTACAAAAATAAACTCTCACGCCTATGGACCAGCAAAGACTGGCAGAGCGGCTCCTCTACAGGGCCACAACTCTCTCTGCCAATCCTGGGACCCCATTCTTTGACCCTCACCCCTGCCACTTCTAAGGCACTGTGACTCTCCTCTGGGCTGAGTGGGTACCTCTCGCCCACCCTCCTACGCCCCCTGCCCCTCCACCTCTGGTCCGCCTGGGGCCGGGATATGGGTCCCACGCTGCCCCCTGCTGGCTGCCCTATCCAACTACCCCTAGCGCTCCCCTGCTCCGGCGGGGTAAGCTCACTAAGCTAACGGCTCCTAAGGGAGTCCTACCGTTCTTGCCCCCCTAGCCCGGCCTCTCCCGATCTCGACAGCCCGAGGCCCTCCTCCCCTTCCTCAGGAGGACTGGGAGGGGTCTCCCCTGATGGTGCTCGGGTATAGGGTGGGGACGTGTCGGCCTGGGGCGGCCGGCGGCCCCGAGCTCGACGGCTGTGATGTACTTGCAGGTGCAAGGCCATGAGCTCAGGGGCTCCGGTGGCGAAGGGGCAGAAGAGGCAGCGATGGAGGGTGCCCCCAGGCCCGGCCTCGCCTCCTGGCCCCGCCCGCAGGGACAGGTCCAGGGGCTCAGCCTCACCGCCTCGCCCGTTGCGAAGGGTCCTCCCGGGGCTAGCCGGCTTCCGACGCGACCCGGGCACGGCGCCACTTGAAGGAGGCCGGGGGCTCGCTGCGCCCTCCACCCAGGTCGCAGGCTGCAGAGCCACTTTGGCCCCAGAAGACGGGGCCGAACCTCGCTGGGAAGAGGGCGGCGGCTCTGGGGGTGGCCCGGGGCCTGCCCCGCTCCTTTGCTCCCGGTGGTGGCGCTGCAGGTGATACTTGAGCGAGCCGGACTGGGTGCCCGCGTAGTCGCAATGTGGACACTTGTAGGGGCGCTCGCCTGGGGAGGGAAATGAGATGGGGTCACTGGGTCAGGATCACTGCACACCCCCACCGCATTTTGCTAAACTTACAAACCTTATCCTCAAAACCAGAAAAAAAGCTGCCTCTCCCACCTCGTGATTTAAACAACAGGCGGTTCCCAATGATCTCATCTGGCCGCCCTGAGTGCTGCCGAACATCACCTCAGAGCATCACCTTACGGGCGTTTCCCGGAGCCCCTTTGCCTTTCCTCCTGTGCTCTAGCTTCCCCTCTCTTCACCTCGGCTCCCTCACCACCGTGGCTGCCCCCCTCACCTGTGTGCACTCGAAGATGCACTTTGAGGTGATGCGCCGAGCGGAAAGATTTTCCGCAGAAAGGACAATCCTTCCCAGTGGCTCCCCGGCCCCCTTCCGGCCGAGTCCCTCCAATCAACAGCCCGTTCTCTTCTGCAACACACAGGTCAAGAGGAAGTCGGACAGGGCCTGCGCCCTGTCCCTGGCAGGGCCATGTGCTCCGGACTCCTACCCCATAGCACTGCTTCTGTTCGGGGGGTGGGGAGCAGCAGCAGGGTTTGTGGGGAGTTGAGGGGTTGGATTTGTTGTAAGTTCAGAGTTGGTGCCCTCAGAAGGTGACAAAGCCTCCAGGAAGGAAAAAATTAAAAAGGCAGGAGAAATTTAAAAAACAAACAAAACCAGGCCCTTTTAAAAAGGAGAGTACGGGAGGGGAGTGGTGGAGTCAGAGTCGGCTGAGGGCATGGGTACGTACCCTGCGTGACCGTTGATCTTGCCTGGGCCCCCGCTGCAGGCACAGAGTGCCCCTGCCCCTCGCCTGGGCGTGGGTGCAGCGAAGCCAGAGGGCCCAGCGCCCTGTTCCGGGTCCAGGTCTCCTCCTCCGCCTCCACCACCTCCTCTTCTTCCTCCGGTTTCGCGGCTCGGTGCCGGCGAGCCCGAGCGGGGAGAGCCGAAGGCAGAGGGCGGAAGCCTCCGAAGCTGCGGCTGGGCCCAGACTCAGTGCCCTCGCCATTGGGTCGGGCCTCGCCAGCTCGCAGGCTCAGGTAGCCTAGGAGGCTTGGGGGCTCGCGACGCTCAGCTGGGGCGGGCGCCGGGGCCAAGAGCAGCGCGGGGCCCAGCGGCTCATAGGCCAGCAGACCCAGGTCAGGAGGCTGGGGGGCCCGGGTAGGCCCGGATCCAGGCCCCGGGGCACTCAGTGGGCCCAGCTTGCTGGCGTGCACCTTCATGTGGTTTTTTAGGAACCAGGGCTCCTTGAAGCAGCGGCCGCACACGGGACATGCATGATCGAAGGAAGCCTTGTGCTTGCGCATGTGGCCCTTGAGAAACCAGGACTGCGTAAAGCTTTGGCCGCACACTTGGCAGCGGAACTCTGGAGGCGCTGGGGGCTCATCGGGAGCAGCGGGAGCGGGGGCGGGCGTTGCCTCCGGCTCTAGAACAGATTTGGGTTCTGGCTCGGGTGGAGGCTGAGACTGGGGCGCAGCGGAGGTGGCCGCCAGGGGGCGCTCGGCAGCCCCGTGGGCTGTCAAGCTGTGGTGCAGTAGCTCCTCCTCCTGGCTGGAGCCGAAACTACACAGGCCGCATTTCCAAGGCCTGTGGAGGATGTGCAGGTGACGTTCCCGCTCCGCCGCGGTGCGAAACTTGCCTTTGCAGAAAGGACAACGGAAGGCAGACGACGCAGTAGACTGGGGCCGCGTCAGGCCCTCGGTGGCGGAGGGGGCCTGCACACCTCCTGAGCCCCGGGCTCTCCCCAGGCGGGCCTCGCGCAGCAGCGCGCGCTCCTCTAGTTCTAGCAGCAGGCGCGCGGCGGGGCTACGCGGGCGCTCCGGTTGGTGCGTGCGCAGATGCGAGCGCAGCAGAGCTCGCTGCGCAGTGCGGTGGCCACAATGCGGGCACTGGAAGGCCTGGGCGCCAGGGTGCGCCCGCAAGTGCAGCGCCAGGATGGAGTTGAAACGGAAGCGCTTCCCGCATACAGGGCAAGGGAAACGCCTTTCGCCCGCACGACTCTCAGACCAGGCCACCGCGCCCATCCCAGGCGACCCCGCGCTCACGCCCGGCCCGTTGGAATAGCGCTGCAGATCCAGTTCGCCGTCGAAGGCCGGCGGTGACGGCGCTACGTGGCCGCCCAGGGCGCGGGGACGTGAGCCCTGTAGAGAAAGGTGCAAGTAGAGCAAGGGGTGGAGAAGGGCCAACCGTGGGTGAAGCAAAGGCATCGAGGGACAGAGGAACCCGAGGGAGGGTGGGTTGGGGCCTGAAATAGAAATACCGGATGCCCTTTCCACTCACCCGGGGGAAATTGGGGGAAGGATAGGAATTGAAATGCTGGGGACAAGGAGATAACTTTTAATACTAGGAGGCGAGAGAGGTGGGGAGGAGAGGGAGTATAGTTGTAAGGACAGCCCAGAGCTTCACTCACCTCCATTGACCCCCTTCACATTCTTTGGTTCTGGGGAGTGCAGGAAAGAGGAGGAGAAAAAACTGCTAGTGAAGTCAACAGGTGCTGAGGAGCTAAAGCAAGAGAGACAGATTTGGAGGAAAAGATGAACCCTGATTTTCAGCAGTGGAGTCACCCTCACCCCAGACTTCCACCCTCTATTCCTGAAAGCTATCCCTTCTCCTTCCTTGCATCTGGAAGCACCCAAAGGGCCTGCGGTCCTCAAAAACTGTACCTCTTGATTTGCCAAGCCCACAAGGCTCCCTGATAGCCCAGATTTGTTTCCCCAAATTATACTTTTGAAATGGCTGGTCCAGAACCACCACCACCACCACCACCACCCCATGCCCTGGTGGGGATGGGGGGGAGACCATAACAGCATAACCTTCTCATTTAGGTTGGGCTGTGCAGTTTGATGAGCAGATGGGGTGGACTTGCCGCGCTCCCCAATTCACCAAGTGGGACCAGTTGCTTTCAGACCCCTAGCTGACCCAGCCAGCCAAACACCCTTCCAGCCTCCACAGTCCTTCCTTCTGCCCTTACCCTGTCTGTCTTTCCCCCTCATTCTCCCTCCCTCTGCCTGGATTCCTGATCCATTCATTTCCATTCATTACAGAGACTCATTCATGCATGGGAGAGAAACACCTCCCAGCAGCAGAGAGTCTGGAGACAGACAGAGGGGGAGGGGCATGAAGGGGGAGAGAGCCAGAGGGAGAGAGGATGAAAAGAGAGTTGGGGGAGGAGTGGAAGTTAAGGGGCGCTGCTGGCCTGGGGAAGGAGTTAAAAACTGCAAATACCAGATAGGATTCATCCCCTTGTTTCAAACCTTGGAGCCTGCGGTTTGATGGGGCATCTCAGCCCCTTTGTCCAGAGCTGTTCCGAAGCAGGCTTTTCTCCTCTCTGCAGGGGAGAGGCTCCCTCACACAAGAGGAGGATTACACAGGCTCTGAGCTCAAGAGGCTGGAGTGAGGGATGGGGGGCGGGGCTGGGCCATCTGCACAGATAGGGGCTCAGCACATGCTCTGAGTAGGAAGGGGTTAAAATTCTCCAGGCTAAAACTCCCTAGGCCTGGGATGTGCAGAGCTCCAGTGCTGGGGAAGGAGAAGAGCAATGAGAGGAAGAAGATGGGGGGGGGTGGTTCCTGATTCTAGGCTGCAGAGGAGGTCAGCATTAGGACTTAGAAGCAACCCCAGAGTTAAGATTTATAGAAAAAGGCCTGGGAGGATAACCAGAAGTCGTCCGGTCTACCTTCCTGCTTGCATGTAAAATTGTATCTGGTCAAGGCCACACAAACGAGGGCCTAACCTATTTTTTCCCCTGAGATAGAAAGGATATTTGAGATATAAAGAACTTCCTTACAATAGGCATTATGAAACTGAAATGGGTTACTAAGAAAGAAAAGGACTCAAGTATTACTTTGCTTAAGGATCTTTAATAGAAGAGAACTGGGCCAGGAGTCAGCCCTGCTTATCAGCAGAGAGAGAAGGCTCTAGAAGTCCAAGGTTTCCTTAATTTTTGACATTTAGTGGATGTGGTAAGACTCCATGAAGGGGTATGTATCTGTTACATGTGGGATCTGGGCTATGGGAGTTTTATTAACAGGAGATTAACAAAGTGTCCTTGGCCCAGGGTTACTAAATGAGCTCCATAGCCACTAAATATGTGCATTTCTGTAGCTCCAAATTAGGATAGCCAGCTGCATCCTCTGTATCCTCCAAATAAACCCCTTTCCTTAAACCAAAAAGCCTAGATAGGCTTACTGAGTGGTGTGATAAAAGGTGAACTAGAATAGGGCAGAGGGGTGCAAGGCTACTGGGGGCCCAGCCTGACCATTAATAGCCCAGCACCCTTAAGTAAACCCCTTAACCTCCCAGTTTATTCATCTGTAAAATAAGGGGGTGGACTAGTTAATACTGATGTTCCCTTCTAGTTCAAAAGTTTTGTGGTTCTAAGTCACAGGGCTCTTTTGGACTCCAGAGGAATTAAAACAAATGGTCACCCCTTCAGTACCATGGAGAGTGCAGTGGGCTACCAGACGAGCTACTTTGGCCACCTCAGTACCATAGATAGAGCTATGAAGTGCTAGAGGGGCCATATTTGTCATTTTAGCACCACAGATAAGGTACTGAGAAAAGCTAGAGTTTTTCTTTTTTTTCATTCTTTTTTTTAATTCCTATCTGAGAACCATAGGAAAAAACAGTGGTACCAGAAGGATTATTTTGGCCTTTTGAATGTCACTGAAAATAGGCAGATGTAATAGAAAATAAATGTAACTAGAAGAATTTTAATTAGCTATAAGGAGTGTCCTGACAGTTCCAGTTTGTACATCCTGGAATGAGTTACTGAGGAATCGTATTTGGGTCCATCACATTCTGTTGCTCTCCCGGGGATTCCCGGAACATCCTGGTGTACGGCCAATCTGGTATATTCGGAAGAAGCAGATGGCAGTTGGGGGGTGGGGGGAATGAGGCTGAGAATACTGCATGGTCATAGCTGACTAACCTATGGGCACATACGCTGATTCTGAGAAGATTCTAAGGCCCCTAAAACTGCCTGTAAGACAGCAAGCAAAATACCTCATGGGAAGCTGGCCTTACATCAAAGGCTAGAAGAGTAAGAGCAGGGCAAAGCTCCCCCCACTACAACCCCCGCCTTCCCAATCAAAAACAAAAAAAAAGCTGGCTATGAACAGTTTCCAGGATGGAAATATAGTGATATACAGGAACACCCAAAATGAAGCTGAATTATTCCTCGGAAGGGAAGGTTTCCCCAGAGGGTGGCCTAGAACGAACAGAACCCACTAAGAGGTCCTCTGAGGCCCAGTCAAGATCTCCTGCATCATTCCCACACCTGGTCCCCGGTGCCAGATTCCATGGGTTTTTCTCAATAGGAGAAAGCACCGACAGGGCCCAGGATTCTATAAAATGGCCTGGAACCTAGGTCATGTATGTATTGCCTGTTGGCAAGTCACAGGTTCTCCTAGTCAGGCCTTAAACACCATCCACAAGAATTCACCAGACAGCACTGACTTACTTTCCATCCCACCTAGAATTGGGGGTTATCTTGCCCTTATCTGGGTTCTATAGGAATGCAGGGCCAGGGATAGGGATCAGAAATCTTTCCAAAACAACAGGCCAATTTACTAACCTCTTATGTGCTGGGCAGTCTGGTAAGGAAGTTGGGTGGGTGTGTGTGTGTGTGTGTGTGTGTGTGTGTGGGTGTGTGTGTGTGTGTGTGTGTGTGAACGAACCATGAAACCTTACTGTGTAGGGTAAGATGGAAGGGTTGCTGAGAAGGTTCTTAGAAAACAGCAGGGACAAATACATAGAAGCAGCTGCTAACTGGAGGATGAAATTGTCCTTCAAGCTATGTGGCTCAAATGTTTTTAGGGTCGAAGTGCAAGGGGCGAGGGTCTAGTTGTGACTAGGTCTGTTTCTGGTCGTCTCTATAATATCTGATGTTTTCCCTCTGTAGAGAATCCCACACCTCCCAAGTCAGCTTTAGGAACAATTATGATTGAAGACCGCAATAGATGGGGTTGCGAGGATAGGGGGCTTCTTAGGTGGTCTACAGTCAAGACCACCTTCATCACACAGATATGCCAATAGTTCAGTTTTATGTTTTATTTACGTTCTCCTCTCCAGGGCCCTCTGAACCTGACTGCTCAGGTAGCTCCTCCAAACCCACCGCACTCCACAGCTTGCCCACCCTTTAGACTTAAGAGTTCTTGGTAAAGCCTCCTTCCCCTCATCCTCACTGTCTTGAGTTGGGGGCATGGGATCTCTCACAAACTCCAAACGTACAGCAGGAGGAAAGAGGAAGGTACACCTGTTCACTTGCTGCCACCCACCATGGTGAATCCTATCCCAGAGGCATGTCCCAACCTGACCCCTCTTCTGCAAGTTCTGGAGAACTTGGATTTGGGGAGGGGGCATGTAGCCAGACCTAAGTCCCCTTAACTGAAGCTGACCCTGGCGAGGTCACAGTCTTGGCACCCATGATTGGGGGTCAGCCGGAGAGACTCTGGGAAAATCCCCCTCCCAGAAGTAGGTTGGCAAGTATGGTTAAGACCTGTGATCCGGCACAAGAGGTTCTTTCAGTAGCACCCCAGACCCTTCCCGGGGAGGATAAGCCAGAAGGATGATGGGGGGCAGGGTTGGGGTATTAGGAGGCCAGGGCTCAGCTACCCCTGGCCGGGAGAACAAAAGCTGAGTTGCAGCCGCCTCCGCCGCTGCCGCGGGCCGAGCTCTTTGTGACACTTTGTTTGGGACGCAGAGAGGGAAGCACTCCCCATCCTCTCCCCTCCCCCAACCCCCGCTCCTGGAGAGTTTGGGTCTCACCCCTCCCCCACCAGCCCTACCTGGGCCGGGGACGCTCACCCACTCTGCCTCCAGGCACCGCTGCCCCGCGCCCCCAGGCCCCTCGCGCCCTCCCTCCGGGCCCCTACAAAGGCGCCCACCCCCTCTTCTGCTGGCCCTTCCCCTTTGGTGTCCGCTCTCTCAGCTCCCTCACCTGGCCCCCACCTCCCTCGGGCACCCCACCCCCAGGTCTCCAGGCTTCCGAG